AGAATAATTCAATAGCCCTTTTTCTCCAACAATCTTATTAAAATTAATAAGAAAACTGTACAGCAATAAAATCAATAACTTCTACTGGTACTTAGGACTATATAATTTATATAATTAGTTTTATATATATATTAAAGGAGAGTGTCCATAACCTTAATGTTGTGATTTAAAATATATTCACTTTAAATTAAAAACTGAAATAAAAACACCGAAAAAACCTAGTTGAAATAATTGTTTGAACAAGTAAACGACGGAGTTATAGGTTGAAGGATATAAGACAAACTGTTTTATTGGTCCCTAGGTACATATAAAAGGCTCCTAAAAATAACGTGTTAGAGGCTGTCTCAAATTTCTCCACTTTTATTTCCACGTAAACGTCAAAACATAAAGTTTTATATTTTAAATACGGTACAAGATTGACAAATTCATGAGGACGCTAACCATGTAAATTAAATATGCCAACTTAGTAGTTAAAATGTTTCAAAATATTGTTGCACGAAAATGAAGATCTTTTGACACAAATATTGTAAATTTAGTGCTTGCCTGATAGTCAAAAGGTCACCGGTTCGATCCTGAGTAAAGTATACCCAGCTGTTCTTGACTATTGGGCATTTAATAAATTGTCCTGGCTAACTAAATACCTAGTCTTAGTCAATAAGTGTATCCAACACCATTATACACTCATCCTTCTCTCAGATTTGGGTTAAAAACACAAACCTAGGTAAACAAGCATAAAATTAACAACATTAAAATTGAAAAAAAAGCTTAACAATTTCGAGTTCATAAACTATACAAATTTTGCAAAACAAAGCACCTAAAACAACTCGTTCAGTAAATAAAGCTTTAACAGGAAACACCGTTACAACATTGTTTATAAGGACACTGTAAAATAACCATATCAAGTTCCATGTGAATTATCAAAGTTAACAGCTGGTTGTGTTTGTTCTGCCAACAGATGTTCCAACATGTCAGTGATGTTGTCTTTATGATGTTTACAATACCCGCATTGGTCAGACAATGTAGACACTAACTGATATGACTCTAACTTTTGGCAAAACTTGTGTGACCATAGCGATAGTTTTGACGGGGCGCTTTTCAGTTATAGTATAAATAAGTTTATAATATATTGAAGTAAGATGCTAACTTAAATGTTACTATATCGCCAATAAACTTGATTATATAGATTTTATGGATCTAGTAAAAAAAAAATTGTAAACATAACCCTGCAGTAAATGTGTTTTTTGAAAATAAAAGAAATCAAGTCCATACAATGCTTCATTATTTAACCTATTAACCTATTAACCTATTAACGAGGCACTGAAATAAAACACCAAAGAAAATATCTAAACTAATTACAATGTGAGGGAATACTAGAAATGTGTTTGGGACAATCTATATAATTAATACGCTACATGAAACTTTGTCGGTTGAACTCCTCTGCCATTTCTTAACCGATTTTTTTCGTTGGCGTCTCATTGGAAAGAGCGTGTCGTGTAGATTTGCAAACTGGCCTTACATTTTTGAAAAAGTCCCTTGGGCTCTGCCCCAGTGGCTTTGAAAGTTTCCATGTTATCCTTATGAAGAACATAATTGTTTACATTTTGATCAGCTGTATACTTTAATTGCTGTTATTTATTTATTTACTATTTGAGTTTGTGTAAACATAACCCCCAAGATGGATCGTGTTAGTATGGTTGTATCTTAAATTTGTGTGTTTATCGTTGTTTTGTGTCTATATGACGGATCGTGTTAGCACGATTGTAACTTAAATTTGTGCATTTATCGTTGTTTTGTGTAGCTATAATTTTGTTTATTTTTTGTTTTTTCTTTTAAATGCCTTCGACGTGACGACAACGAAACATAGACAGGAGGCGTAATCGTGATAACGACCGCAGCTACAGAACAGTGGTGCGTAATAGCATAGATAAAAGGATATGGTGATGGGCTTAAATCATCACAGTCAGCCCCTGACCCTGGACAATCTCAACTATTAGGTTACAAATGCGCCCTAAATCCCAAAACGACATTTCGTTCTCAATTGGCCCTCTATCAATGACCTGTGGTGCCTGTACAGCGAGGCATTTTGAGAAGGAGAAAACCGGAGGTTTATCAATAACGATGATAAACATGGTCTGAGTTACACACCGGTAATCTTTTGAGTTTACTCTTTTAAACTCATTGTAAATATCTGTTATTCGTTTTGAAATAACTCCTGTAATACATTGCAATTGCTCGAATTCGAGCAACATGTACACTAGTTTGAATTGAAATGAATTTAAATACCTTGCAGCTATTTCTTTAATTTCCCTACATAGTATTGAAAACACACTTGAATCTGTAATAATATATTTCATTTTTTTAATTTGATTAAATACACTAAAACGGGTTTTATCTTCAACAATATATTTTTCATTAGTTTACCTAATATTTATTTCTAACTGTTTAATTGATTTTAATGTTAGTAAATTTACAATTGGTAAAAAAACAATTTAATAAAATAGTCCTAGTTAGGTATTTAATCCAAATGTATAAAATTACCATTTTCAAATCATTTAATGCTAATATGATTTAGTTGTGTTAATTTAATTATTTTTACTGTATGTCAACTTGATGATTTATATTATTATGAAATTACAAAATTAATTACTAGATGTAAAATAGCAGTGCTCTTGCTCCGCACCTACGAGTTCACAGACAGGCCAAATAAATCCAGTACCTATGTTGCCTTTAAATATTGAAGGCGTTGCATATCCATACTGGTCTGTGTTAAGCCTAACTTGGAATGTTCGTACCATTAACGCTAGAATGTCTTAACAAAGTAAATTTAATTACATGTGCATACCGTCAACTAAAAGACTTAAGTAAATGAAAAACTCTTTAAAGTGCCTGAAAATACAGGACTGTCATATAAATGTTTGATGTTGAAACAGTTAACAAAATGAGTTAACTTCTAATTGAACCATATTAAAATATACAGCCAACCTTGAAAATCTAAATACACGTGGATTCCGTGGGTTGTCAATTTAAATATGTCATTTAAGAATAAACTAACTTTATACTAAATAATTTATAAGTGTAAATCCATTACAGAGAACTGAATATTACGTGTCAACAAAGGATATAATAACAATATGTGTTTCCAGTGAGGTATAAGATTATTTAATAAAAAAATACGGTTATTTCTAAAAGTTTTATTTTGAGATTCCCATTATCCCAGCTTCTTAGCTTGTAAAGTATTTAGACATTCCAAATGTTCTACCTATAACTTGGTATAAGATTTTTGCTGTTCTTGTTACAAAATGTCCATGTATTTTCTATGTATTATCGTTTTAACATCCTTAAAATTTAAAACTATTTTCATCACATGTATTTTCTTTAACGTGTATTTGTATCAAGTACCCGTCAAAAATCGCAGAGTGATGTATAAAAATACAAAATGGGGGAGGGCAACTAGAAAGTCAATGAAAGTTGGATAGGTATAAGGTGGTGATATTGACAGATGTTATCCACTAGACAGAGAGGAAATGAGCTGCTGAAGAGACAAATGTCGACTCAGGGATATAAACAAACTCTGCTACTCATGTTCCATTGTCAACCTACCCTATATATACTACTTCTCACTACCATCTTACAAAACAAGCTATTTACTTTCACCTCCAATACATAGTGTATGAGGAAAGATTTCTTTTTATAAACATTAGTTTAAGATACACACTAGAAGTATACACTTATACATTAAAAGTTGAGATTTGTGTGGAAATCTTAGTTTTGGGCACTTCTGACCCAAAAAGAAGTTTTCGAATTGATCCATGTATGTTTGTGTTTGTGTATGTATGTGTTTGTATAAGTATGTGTTAGTGTATGTATGTGTACAGAGTTACAGACAACATTTGGGTTTCTGATTTAGATCAAATATGGTATCTGAGTACTAATCCATAATATCTCGTATAATAACTAAATTTTTTTGTAATGTACATTTTTGAATGTGATTTTTTCATAAAAACCCATAGGATAACGAAGAACGGGATATTCAGAGCAACGGCTCGTACAATTTTGTTTCAAATATAGTATGTTATGGTCCCTGGTCCCTTTAACTCTCAAAGATTGTTCAGCCCCAAATTATGTAAATATCACGATTCAAAAGTTCTTTATTTTCAATTATTGTTCTTTTCCCGATGAAATATCATAGTCACTCCCTCCGCTTACAAATGATAAGAGTTGTTGACAAGCCAAACGAGTTAAAGTATGTGCCTGATTGCTGATATCGTTAAATATTTAATCGGTTACATGTACAACATAGTTTTCAGTTTATTTATTTTTAATTCTTTGTAAAAACCTTGAAACCTTTTGATATACTAAGTTTCCAAAGTAATCAAGAATAAACATCCATGGTATTAACGAGATTTGTAAAAAAATAAATAAATTTATTTTCGTTAATTGCAACTTTTAGTAGTTATAGATATTTACAAATGTATTTACTACAAAAGTTTTCCTAATTCTATCATTAGGGGTAACTGTCATTTCCATGCGCCCAAATAGTGTTGTGCTTAGTTTAAAATATTTTCGCAAGTAAAATCAATCTTCAAAGTCTTTGGGAACAAAACAATAAATCCCACCTGCTAACTCAATTTTGAAGTTAATTTCTCTTTTGTTTACTCGACATAACATTGTGCAACCTTTTAATTTATACTTTTTCTTGTATATTTAGTTTCAGTGTATGATATTTGGTTTAAACATATTCCACAATTTTAAAACTCTATTTTATATTGGGTATATCAAAATAAGGAGGTTTTGTTAAGCCGAATTATTTGTGGGATAGTTTCAATGCAGTAAAATCAAATAATAAAAAATAACAGTTTTTATTATGCTATACAAAAACATTACTGTACACCTCCAGGTGACAAACAGTCTTAAATTATAAATAAACAACGTTTTACAAATTATTATAATAATACTATATTACTTTTGAAATGTTTTGAAAGTGTTTAATTTTACTGTACCTTATTGAAGATTGTGGCTGTTCTTTTTTCACCTGAAAAAAAATGATTTATTAATATTCGTGAATAGTTCTGGAAAAAATCTTAAATCGTTTTAGTGTTTATTTTGAGTTCAAGATAAGGAGTATGTGGCCAAAATATATTATTGAAGTGTGTTGCATATATTAATGTTGTATTGACATTCGTGAGTATATGAATGCAAGACAAATTGTTTATTCTAATTATTAACTATTTACAAACTCAATAATCATGTTAAAGGCTCTTAAAAGAATGTCGGGCCTAGAAAAAATAAAACGCTTTGTAAAATTGTAATTTTTAGATCGCATTTCAGTAACATTCAACAAATGCAAATTTTTATCAAAGCAATAACAACATAATGGCAACTGAGAGAGAAAATGCGAGGTTTCATGTTGAAAAACTACCTCGTCAGTTGCCATCAATTACAAGAACGGTATTTGTGGAACGTTAGCTTTAAATCCATTCTAAATAATATTTATGTTTTCAATTTCTTGTAAGCTTAGCTTACAATTTTGAAAATGCCACTCTTAATCTAGATAATGTGTTAGATTTTTCAAAAATTTTGCTATTTATTTCTTTATCTGTTACCACAAGAAAAGCTGTCAGGCTAGACACTTACAATATAAAATTCATATTAAAGAAAACATAATTAATCTTATACCTAATTTTGTAAAATTACATCATGGAGAATCTTTTAGTTTTTGAGTCAAAGGAATTTAGTGGTTTTACAATTTTATCAAACATTCCTAAGTTAAACCATTTTAAAGGATCTAAGAACTTGCCCACTCTGTTTGTAGTTTATTTACAGTTCGGTATGCCTTATGTAGATTTTGTGAATTTGGAATAAGACCGTAGAAATTGTGTTCACTGTTAATAAAACAATCCTAATTATAAAGCGCACATGTATTTGTAAATGGCTTGCTCAATATGATCAATGTTAGTTTATTTTCAATGTGAAACAATATAAAGTTATATTTAAGTTTACACTCTTATCGTGGTTTAACCATAATAGCACAAGCACCATTATTAAGGGGAATATTATTATTGACACAGGCTCGTTCAAAATGTTTACCCTGTATCGAAGTAAAATAATTATTCGTGATTGAGTATATACGAAAAATGTGTTTTTTTTAACTTAGCAGATAAGACAACGTGGTGTTTATGAATAAATAAACAAGTTACAACTTTTCAGCTTTATAAGTTAAGTAAATATTAATAAATGGAAAAATAGTATCACACTGTACGTCTGTATATACAAATGTTTGAATTTAATTTGAGTTTTTACATACAATTTGCATTTATTTCTTTTGCAAGGGAGTTGTTGACACGCTCATAGACAAAGCTAATTTGTATATAGAATCTGAATCAAACTAACAATCATTATATTTGAAGATAACATTACAACTCGTCCCTGAGAATGTCCACTATGAAAGAATACAACGGACAGTGAGGAGAAAACAATCAGTGTGAGTGGACAAACCAGTGGCTTTGTGTGACGTAATTAATGACAGCGAGAGTTGACACCGGATACGGAAACACCTCAACAACTCTCACGTTAGAGGAAATGGAAACACTTCTTTAAACTAACTGTTGCTGTTGGTATCATTCATTTACGTGTTTATTAACTTATTTCGATGCTAGTTTTATAACACGAGATTAATTTAAACATCAATTTTTTTACATAGGTAATAAAAAAGCGCTTATGTTTAAAGTGTTGATATTTTACACCTCATTTGTATAACTTCATTGGTGCTTTATATGCAAAAAAAGTTTACTTAATATTTTTCTCATTATTTTAGTTTTTGAGATTACTAATTCAATGGTTGGTGAAAACAAAACTGTAGCCCTCTTACCTATTAACGTTTACACTCTTTAAAATTTTTATATTTAAATTAACGTTTAAATTTTGTAGTTTATAATACATTAAATGTTCAAAATAATGTCGAACAAAACTGAAATGATTTCTACCAACAATAACTGTCCAAATTGTAAATCTTAATGTTATATAAAGTCTGTCACATAAGGCAAATCAGGATTGAACTTAACTCTCAATGTATTATAGAACACGTTGTTGAAAAAGTAGGTTTATTTTTATACGTTTTTATTAAAAATATTTAATGATATGTGTATTTTCTATTCGTGTAAAAATCCTTTTGTATGGTAAAATATCAAAGTATTACACAACAACAGAATATCATGAACCAAATAGAGTTAAAGACCATAAATAAACTCGGAATTCTGCAGATGACAGTATCAAGAACGCGGAAGGTAATGTGAAGAACTTATTTAAAAATAGTTTGAATAAATATTTTTTTTACAAACCTGTTTTTATTATTGACTACCGTGATCTAAGAAAACTAATGATTATCACATCCAACGATCCAATATAATACAGGTTGTTTTATTACTAAACGCAAGCCGAAAAATTACATGTACAAAGAATCTATAACTTAGGAGAGAACGAGCTCATACGTTGGTATTCCTGCTTCCTTCACTTCATTAGCGATCAGCTGTTATGCATTGTTGCATTTTTGTTTACACGGTTGAGTGTTATTGGGAATTTATTTGGAATATGGCTTCACTTGTTGGTTAGGTCTAAAATGGAACCTATGTATAAGATTGATTTGTGCCCAATCATAAAAACTATTGTATAATTCATTTTACATCTTATAGCCTGTATCACAGACTATAGACCAATTATTAATGGTCTATTGTCTGTGCATGTATTTAATTATTAGGTTCTGGAATCTTAACTGTAAACTTATTTGAAAACCATACCATAAACGAATGGTTTGATTGTAATGTATTCTTCTAAAATAAATGATCGTGGATTCTGTGTAACTCCTATGTTGAGTCTTATTTATAATATATATTTTTAATAACACCTAACCATACGAAAAAGTTTGAAAAAAATGCAAATCAGGTGAAAGGCTAGAGTAAATCTGCTACATTTAAGAACATTTTTTCTACATTAGCAGTGATATTCTTTCTTTATAATTTGTGTTGCGTTTTATAAAACATGGACCACACGGTTATCCCAGATAATTGTATGCAGTAGTTGGTCCTTGCTTAATAAGCAGACAAAATTTGTTGGTAGTAAATTAACCAAAGTTATCTTACTTTATTTTACAATATGTGTAATTTGAGTTTAGCTTAATTAGGTACTTTATGCTCTGGGCAATCTTATTAAATAACTGAAGTTGTTCATGGTAAAACTATTACATATCAGTTGTTCATAATACAATTACAAAGGTTATCCCATAGATCGATATCATACATGATTCCGCCTCAAGTCACCCATAGGAAAAATTCACCGATTAAAACGCAAATATATATATATATGTAGGCTAAATATCATATACAGGGTGAGTTTTAATTGTCCCCCCCCCCAACTTTTTTCTACATTTTTTCAAATATCAATCCCAGACCACTTCCAAACATTGTTGGGTAGTAAGTACTTCATTTTGACAAGGTGGCCATTTCCGGCTGCCATCTTGGATCCGCCATATTGGATGCAAATTTTTTTTTCAAATGTAAAGGTGGGGTTGTGACCCATTATTTCGAACTAAATTTTTACCCTGATTACAATGCCGCAAACCATTTAAAAAAATCTTGATTCATTCTAAAGTTATGAGGGGCTTTTTAAAACTTTATTTTTAGCCCATTTTAACATTGTGCATTTACAAACTAAGACCATAATCTCAAAATAGTGCTAGATAAAGATAAGTATACACTACCAGTAATTGTCGACCTATTTTCACTTGGTTATGACTGATGTATTTTTTTCGGCCGCCATCTTGGATCCGCCATTTTGAAATGTGATACATTATTTTAAATATGAAGGGGGCGTTGTGACCCATCATTTCGAACTACTTTTTTAAGCTGAACTTAATTCCATGATCCGTTTTTCATTTTCATTTTTTGATTTTGAAATATTGACATTTTTAACAAAAAAATTTCAATATTTCATAAATAAAACTTGATAACAAAAAATAGATTGCGGCATTGTCTTCAGCTTAAAAAAGTAGTTCGAAATGATGGGTCACAACACCCCCTTCATATTTAAAATAATTTATCACATTTCAAAATGGCGGATCCAAGATGGCGGCCGAAAAAAATACATCAGTCATAACCAAGTGAAAATAGGTCGACAATTACTGGTAGTGTATACTTATCTTTATCTAGCACTATTTTGAGATTATGGTCTTAGTTTGTAAATGCACAATGTTAAAATGGGCTAAAAATAAAGTTTTAAAAAGCCCTCATAACTTTAGAATGAATCAAGATTTTTTTAAACGGTTTACGGCATTGTAATCAGGGTAAAAATTTAGTTCGAAATAATGGGTCACAACCCCACCTTTACATTTGAAAAAAAAATTTTGCATCCAATATGGCGGATCCAAGATGGCGGCCGGAAATGGCCACCTTGTCAAAATGAAGTACTTACTACCCAACAATGTTTGGAAGTGGTCTGGGATTGATATTTGAAAAAATGTAGAAAAAAGTTGGGGGGGGGGACAATTAAAACTCACCCTGTATATATATATATAGTACGCAAATTAAAATATACTTACAATGCTACGATTCAACTTTGATTGTATTTCTCTTAAATTTACATTAAATGAACAAATATTTTTAAATACTTCAACTTTATTTTTGTTTTACCTCATCGAAGTGGCTATCATTCTCTCTTTATTAAAATTGTATGTTTGCTTGCATCGCATTATGTTTCAATATTAAAAGATGTCTAAAATACACCTGTAAAAATAAAGGTTAAGAGGTCCATGCTAAGCGGTTTATTTCAATAGATATATTCCGTACAAAATATTATGGTTAAAGTATCTACGAAAAATTGTATTTACAAATATATAGACTTTCCAAAAAACTTACATAATTTCATTCTTTTTTAATATATTACAGAAAACAATAGTTATACATTATTTATAGTTACCTCATATTGGTAATAAATTAGAGTGTATATTAGGCATACGTTGTTTTATTCCATGAATAGTTTATA